AGGGAAATATTTTTATTATTATCTCAAGGTAATAAAACACTTTCTTTTTTACCTTTCGAGTGCCTCATAGGACCAACTATTACACTTTGGGGTTTTTTTTGTATTTTTCTTTTAAACTTTACTGAGCTAATGTTGACTGAGATTCTAGAACTTTGCCTCTCTGCAATGAAGTGCTGTTTCTCTACCCTAAGAAATCTATTTGTATATTCTCTGGCTATAATGATCACTTTGAAAGATTTCCCTTGTATCTCTCAAGATTTTTTTTTTTATGGAATAAGGCATAAGGGGAATAAAAACATTGTAGCCAATGTTAATTTAAACTTGTGTCCATACAGATCAGGTAAACCAAATGGAGTCATAAATATTTCCAGAATTCATGACTGAAAGCCTGCTATTTTTGAAAAGTAGGGAGATGGCCTTGTATATCACTGGGTGGGTTTTCTCTGCAGACTAAGTCTAACAATTAACTTCCTGATCCTTTAGTCTTGTCAGCCTTATGGTTGCCCCCATTTTCAGAAGTCCTACCTTAAAAATTTGTCTTCAGAAAAGTTCATGGCTCCCAGGTTATCCAGTGGGCTTATCACCTCTTTGTGTGGTGGGATATTAATGGGTTCATTCAACCAAATGTAAGGTATGTCCCAGACCTATTTTAGCTTGGTTGAGGAAGGCATCGCCAGGACAACAGACAGAAGCTACACAAATGGACTAGCACATAAAGCCAAGCTGGTATAAGAGGCTATTTCCCATCCGGTTGTCCACTAGACTCTTGAGTATTGATGAGATCCAGAAATCTTCTGGAATCCTGAGTCAGGAATCCCTGCAGAATGTCTTGAGAGTCATGGCCCACCAGTTGTAGAGTAGAAAACAAGGAAGCTGCCTGGAGATACCATCAGCTGCCACCAGTCAAAGTATTTACTACTGTATGCCAGCCTCTCCATGTGCCATTCCAGATTTGTGCCTCAGCAAAATTAACTCTCAAGGCCATGCACTTGACAGTCCTTTTCTGATATGCCTAAATCCTCTGCGCCATCAGCCTTCCATTCCAAAGGTCCACTGCGATTGGCACTGTTAGACCTGCTGTGGAACTTGATGGCACTGACCCAGGGCAATAACTCTGGAGTTCAGAATCGTAGGCAGTTTTTGCCGATCAGCAGCCTCGGGGATGATGATCCCTTTGGCCTCTGAACCTCAGCATGGTAGTGAGTCACCATCCAAGAATCATGACCTGAGCTATGTTCTCCATGTTGAAACAAACGGTAGTAGAATGGCATAAAAGAGCAAGAAATCTATAGCCAGCGGAAAATGCCTTTGCCCTTTTGTATTCTTAATGTCTCTTGTGACATCTGATAATGTAAGGTTATAAATGCAAATGGATATTCCTCCAGGCCTTGTAGGAGAAAGAGGACACCAATCAGGACAAGTTGGACATGTGATTTGCGATTTGCATTCTCCCTTCATTCATTTCCAGACCTTCTATTGGTAGTGAAGCCCTCACCCTCCAGACAGGGTGCATTTAGCCCAGCTGCAGGGAGCGTCATCACCCCGTGCGTGTGCTGGATGCCACAGGGTTGTGTATGTCCACTGAGTTTAATGTTGCGCTGTGGTAAGTTGATGACCTTCCTCTTTGCTCTTTCTAAAGAAGACAACCAATGTTTGTCAGAGGAAAAGTCCCAGCAGTCTGTGCTGAAGAGCCTGTGTCCTCCACTCGCTGTTCCCTTTGGAACTGTTCAACTGCAGAAATGTCACATGGAGGTTCTGTGCTTTGTATTTTTTCTTTTTTTAAAAAAAAACACAACAATACAACATTGGCTTTTCAGCTGAGGAACACTTCTTTTGTTGTTGTGGAGTTCCCTCTTGCTATATCTTCTATGCAATTCCTTTTCTAGAAAAACCCTGGTGGAGGAGAGCTCCCTGGGCATCCTGTCCACCCCGTCGCTGTGTGGCAGAGGTGAGGGGGTACCAGTTCTGGGTGTGCCTCTGCTCTCTCCCTGGCTGCCTCTCCCCACTTTCCTGCAGTCCCCCTTGGTTTGTAAATTGCCTGCATTTATTCTGTCAGCCAACATGTACAAAATGTAAGAAAGAATTTTTAAACAGGTAATAAATTATATTTATAAGCAACAGAAAATGCTGCCTCCCTTGTTTCTTCGTAGTAAAGGCCTCCTCCGTGTGAAAGGTCACCATGTGTTTCTTCAGTGGGACACACAGCTCTTGGATTCAGCATGGATGGTAATCACCACCTCCCTCAGGCACAGGATGAGGCTCTAGAACGGTGCTTCTCAAGACTCTCTGCATATTGGAATCACTTAAGGAGCTTTAAAAAAATACTAGCGCCTGGGTTCCATGCCTAGAGATTCTGCTTCCATGGTTCTGGGGTTTAGCCTGAGTGGTCAGAGTTTTTAAAGCTCCCAGGTGATACTAATGAACAGTTTAGGGGGGAGAACCAGAGTTTTAGAACTGCTGCATGAGATGGCCCAGGGAGCTTATAACTAAAATAAATATGAGGTCCTACCCTCAGAGATCTGATTTTAAATGAAATTCGCAAACCACTGCACTAATAGGTAGGAAATGAGAGGTGAACCCAGTGACACAGGATGCCCAGAGCTATGGCGAATGCCACACAGACATGCTCACCTTGGTGCAGGTCACCCTGCCACTCCCTTAGGATAGGCAGGAGAAAGGCTCCGACTGTGCAGCAGGAAGCAGCCAGGAAACTGAGGTGTGGGAACTAAGGCAGCCCTTCCTTAGAGTGAGAACAACAGTGGACCCTTGAACAAGATGGGTTTGAACTGCGCATCCACTTATACGTGGATTTTTTTAAAAAGTAAATACTGTATGTATCTTTTTTTCCTTATGATTTTCTTAGTAACATTTTACCTAGAGTACTTGATTATAAGACAGTATATAATACATACAACATACAAATCATGTAAATTGACTGTTTATATGATCTGTAATGCTTCTGGTCAACAGTAAGCTATAAGTAGTTAAGTTTGGGGGAAGTCAAGTTATATGTGAAGTTTTTACTGTTCAGTCAATGACCCTAACCTCCCCTAACCCCCCCCCCCACACACACACACACAACACACATTGTTCAAGGATCAACTGTACTTGGGGAAATGTGCTTAGGTGGTCTGCAACCAGCCCACACCCCTAACCAGCCACAGTACTTGTGAACAATTGGACCAACACTAAGAAGCTGCCCCCNCTGGGACCAGAACACAGGGACCCCTGCAGTGCAGGAGCAGCAAGGTTTGGGGTCTCTGGGCAGTGGTGGCACTGAGCCCCCTGTGCTGAGCACTCTTCAAGACAGAGATTCCTTGGTGGCTGAAACTGTGTGTGGCTAGTTTATCCTCTATCAACTAATTATGTACACCAAGGAGTTACCTGCTGAGAGAGAGAAAGAGAAAGAGAGAGAGAGAGAGAGAGAGAGAAAGAGAGAGAGATGACATTTAAAGTAGATTAAGTAGATTTTCTGTTATTGCTTTAATACTTCCCAGGCAACGTTTGCTTTTGCTTTTCCAACCAGCAGAAGATCAGAAAATAATTAGGGTTTCTCCTGCAGATGAAATTTAGATTTTGCATTTGTGCTGTTTTATGAGCTGAAACTATTTTAAGAGCCAATTTATGGTTTTCTCTACTAAAATTAGATTTAAAAAAAATACGGTGTACAGCAATCGGAAGATGCCATTAGCAGCTTGCCCTAAGGCAATATACTGTGTTCACCATTTTCTTTAAGAAATTAGTCTTAATTTGATATCATTTAGAGGAGAGTTGTGTTCCATTTCATTCAACAAAAGCAGAACCGAGCCATCTTCTGCAGAGGTTAGAGCAAGAATTTACTTGGGCATTTGCCTAGGGTTTCCCCCTCAGGGTCAGACAGCTTCTAGAAGCTCTGAACTTTCAACCTTCTAATCTCAGATCTGCTCACCCATAAATCCAAGGCTATGCAAAGTTAGCTCAAAATGTGCCTCTTGCCCTCAGCCAGGTTACAGATAGCTAATCACAACTTTTCAGCCAGGAAGAAGCCATTCTTACTTGGAAGAATAATCACACCCATTCTCTTCTTATTGCTCAAAGCAAGGCATTATGGTGATTGCTTCAATAGGGATTGCTTTTGTCTTCAGAAATAATGCTGTATTGTTCCTGTGCCTGAACCACAGGAACCTACTGGCATTGATTTGCCTCTGCTGGATCCAGCGAGCACCATCACCACCATGACAGGACCCAGTGCTTTCAGCATCCCTCCCCCTATCCGGCAGAAGCTCTGTAGCAGCCTGGATGCCCCACAGACCAGAGGCCATGACTGGAGGATGCTGGCCCATAAGCTAAACCTGGACAGGTAGGTATGGCCAGACTCCAGCACTAGTTTCTGTTCAACATAGAGCTCCAGGCGGATAACTCCTAGATGTAGGGCAACTCATTTTATTTTCCCATCCATGCATCTATTTACTTTTCATTCTGCAAACATGTATTAAGCTTCTTTGTATCTTGCACTGTGGGCTTGCAAACGCATTGTCGAGAGGCATTCTGGGCTTATCTGACATTTATAAGCATCAAGTTTGTGATCCGATTTACAAAGCTGATGGGCTAAACCCCCCTAAGTAATATATGCATTTGCTGAAGTAATTCTTGTTCCCCATCTCCTGTGGAGTCAGACCTAATGCCGGATGGGTCACTGATATGCAAAACACAGCATTGCTATTCAGTTATAAAGAGATCTTGGGAGCTCCCTCTTTGTAAAATGTTGCCATCGCTAGCAAGCAAAAGACATGTCATGACCTGCCAAAGATGATCAGCGCCTGGGCTGGAAAGAAAACATGTCTTTTGATTTCCTGTTTAGGATATGACCCATACACGTCTTGTCTCTTAAATGATCTTATTCAGAGTTGAGGTTAACAAAGTTAAACATCACGTCTCCGGTCTGGGGCTGATTTAATTAAGTATGGGCTAGTTATTTAGGATGGCTCATTGTAAACCACAGTTTCTGTAGTGGGACCTGGATACTTAAAAGGCAAACAGAAAGGGTTAGAAAGAACTAAAGAGAAAAACAGATCGGTAAATCACACCATTCAGCACATTTTCCCCATTCCCAATTACAGGTACTTGAATTACTTTGCCACCAAATCAAGCCCAACTGGCGTAATCCTGGATCTTTGGGAAGCACAGAACTTCCCGGATGGAAACCTGAGCATGCTGGCAGCTGTCTTGGAAGAAATGGGAAGACATGAAACAGTAGTGTCTTTAGCAGCAGAAGGACAGTATTGACCCAATTGGGGAATGACGATAAAGGCCGAGAATGCACGGGAGTCTGTGGCCGTCCCGGGAATCCCAGCTGAGGAGGAAATCCTGACTAGACCAATGAGCTTCACAGGCAAGATGGCAGCAGGGGAGAGAAGGAAAACAGATGCAGCTACCAATATACATGCCCACTTTACTCGGACATCATCACAAACGTTAAGAACAATTGTGTACATCTGTACTTTGAATTTAGAAACCAACCTAATTTTCCTCTTTGTTGGGCTGTATGCTGTGTGGTACAGGATCTTACAGTTTCCTAGGAAACGCTTTTTATCGCTATCCAGATATATGGATAAACTTTCTTAACAAACCCAATTTCTACAAACGTTGTTTACATCACATTGGACAGGGATGCAGACGCTGTCCATGGCTTGTTCTATTTTTGTTTAAATCATTTGAAGTTGAAGCTGTGGACGGTTTGTTGTGTCTAATTCAGATTAGTAATTTACAGAGAAATCAGACTTTCGCTACAAATCATGTGCATCAAGTGTCTCAGATAATCCTCCCATCAGTGTTCTGTTTCTAGAACTTGTAGAACCAGTGTTAACTGTTTGTATCAGGGAAGCGGAGAATCTAAGTGTAAAGGAGAAATTAACTGAGACTCCTTATTCCTTGAGGACATCCATCCAGGACCCTCTGGGAATGAAGCTGTAGCATTGCAGGAGAGACAGTGATTCATGTTCAACCACACAAACAAGCATTTCTTCACAACATGTGTTTGTAATATGCAATTTGAAGTTTTTTGTTTTTTTTTAAAGTATCATTATTATCATTATTATTATTGATGAGTATTTACCAGTATTCTAGTAAAAGGATTTTTTTTTAACTTCTGTTGTTGTTAGCAGTACTGTTAGTATTTAGGTATTGACTAGACCTGCCTCATCTTCTCACATAACTAGGTGGGCGTGGTCACCAGTTTAATTAAACAGGCATTGCTTCTTTGACCTTTCATCTTTTCTCCATCATTCTGCCCCCCGGAAAGGTAGTAAATGCGTACTGGCTTTGTCGGTCTGTTCTTTCAGCTCGCTCAGGCAGGGTCTTTCTCCTCTGAGTCTTGTCACAAGAAGCGTTCTGTATTCAAGTTCACATAATACTGGGGTCATATGGCCCCACACTGACCCCCCTCAGTACTCTGCCTACCTTAGAGGCAGTGAGGTTGGAGGAAGAGCCTCTGAACTGGTAATCAGGAAACCAGTCAGTTCTCATTCTGGGTCTGTCATTATCTAGCTGTGCTGCCTTGGGAAAGTCACTTCACCTCACTAGACCTCAGTTTCCTCACCTGTAAAATGAAGGGGTGGGATTAGATAACCTCAAGGCTTAAAATGCTGGACATCCACTCCAGTCTCATTCATCACTGTGAAGACCAAAGTGGACTCAGAGCTGGATAATATAAAGACCCATAAAACCTAGTCACTTGCCCAGGCTACATTATGTCTTTCAAATAGTGTTCTGACTTGGAAGATGATTATAACCTGTAACATATTTGTTATGCTTTCAAGTCTTGTCTTTGTGTCATTGCATTATGCTGTTCACCGAGAGATGGCATCTCTTTATTATCACTTTCTTTCCTCTCTTGGGACCACTTGCCTTCCTGGTTAGTAGCAGATTATGTTCTATTATTGTCTTGGTAAAAATATTTTAAATTAAAAAAAAAACCCTTTTAACTGAAAAATAGTTAATCAACAGACTACTTTGTGTAAACTAAGATATTTCCTTAGGACCATTCACAGGCTTTGTTTTAACACAGGGACTCAAATCTTTCAGCAGGTGAGAAATAGAGAGTCAACAGCCCAGTAGCCAAACCAAGATTGAAAAACAAGGACCCATGTGTATGAATCAAAACCTTCAAAACATGGTTATGGTTTACTTTGGGGCTAGAGGTATCCAGGTTGCTGAGTGGATTATAATTAGAAACAATTTCATACATTTTCTCCCGTACTTCCACATTTATTTCCTCTCGTATTTTGGTGACTTCTAGATATTTCCATGCTCCTCCACCCTCATCATTGAGAAAATATTGATGCCTTGGTATGCAGCCTTTTCTTTCAGGCCTTTATATTCTTTTTTAGGCATTTATTCTATTATTTGTCTCCCTCAGCTGCCCACCTCCCACACTATATATAAAAAATACACTACACTTATCACGAAAGGGAAAGATTGCACTAATAAACAAGTTCAGTGGGTAATGTTTGTACTGATGCATATCTGACCAAAAGATAGTAAAACTGTATCCTACAGAAAAGAAAAAGAAAATTAAACAGATTATTTTTTAATAGGAGGAGAAAAGAGAACTATTGTCCACTGCTGCATCTTAAAATAACTTCTCAAGATTGCTCACCATTACTGATTGTCATCTATGGAAATCAAGAATTAGAAATCTGAAGGACACTCAAAGGACACTTTTCACTCATGTCTAGTGAAAAGTAGAGGCAAGAAAATATGGAGCTATCCAGATAAATCAATTCAGAACTTAAACTAGAAAAAAATATCACTAAGAAGTCATCAACACAGAAATACTGAACATAGCAAGAACTATATTATCAAAGCCATGGAAAGCCTTTGGGGTTCACTTCAAATGCTTCGTGCTTTCTGTTCAACCTTCCAGCACCAGAAATAGGAAGAGTGGTTGATTCCTTATAAGCAAGGTACTTAGCTGTTGTAAAACGCAGTGATGTTCTCTACCAAGTGAATGGCAACTTCCATGCATACAACACACCACTTAAGTCAAATAATTTTCACTATGAATTCTGATTTCCTTCTTCTTTGGAATGAAGCAATAGCTGTCAGATTGCTCTCATATACATAAGGTCCATACCCAACAGCTCATTTCATAGGGAGCCACTTCATCAACCATTCAATGTCACACATCCTGCCTTTCATTCCTAGGGCTTCTGTGGAGCTTGTGAGGAAAGACAGGCTTCATTCGAAAGGGAAAACCTATCACTTGTGCGTGGTGCCATCTAGTGGTGTGTAACACAATCTACCCCGAGTTTAATATAAAAACTCACTAAAAGTTTGGCAAAGGGAATGAATACCTGCTCAGTAGGACCTTTATGACAAATCGACATGGGGAGATTTTCACTTCAAATAAGTTTTCTTATTCTCATATGTTTTTCACCTAAATTATCTAGATCAAAAATTGCATGTCATTTTTTTTTTGAGCTTAGTACATCATCAACTCATTCATACATGACATATCTCAACTTGGTTTTTGGTAACAGAAATACACAAAAATCTGTATAAAACAGTCTTGGAAGAGTTATCATTAACATTTATATTTTTCATTGTGTTTAAATGTTTCAAATCTCCTATTTTGGGTTCTCTAATATTTATTTTTTGAAATGTTAGAAGCATCTGCTTGGAAAGAAATGTTTGATATATGCAAATCAGAATACTATGTCTAAGGAAGTAAAAATTATAGTTTGTAATCAAGGAGAAGAAAGAGGCTTCCTTTCTTCTGAATTTGGGTATCTACAGGCACAGGTTTCATTCAGTTTCATTTTCTTTTTTCCACACTCATTCAGATTTCCTTAGAGTGCTCTGGAAGGAATAGACGTTGGATTCTGAATTGATAACTAGGTATAAAGTGATGCCAAACATGTAACACCAAGGTCCTCCACTAAGTGTTTTCACATGCAGCGTGAATACCAATGTGGATCCCTACCTTAGTTACACAGAAAAACCCATCCTCCTGTGAGTAGTATAAGCCCTTCCAAGCCAGGACAATGTTTTGGGTGAGATGCCCAATATTAAACTGCATAATCATTAGCCATTTTCATATATACTATCATTTTGTATATTTTAATCTCATAAGCTTCAAATAGTAGAGCCATTCTTTGGGACAATATCATGGAGACGGAGTTCAGGACACTCGAGAAACCACACAATTCAATACCATTTTTGAAGGGTATTTCTCCTGTAAGATATCTTAAAGGTAAGCATTCAGATAGCAGAATCAAAACTTTTTACATTTTTGGAGTGGAGCAAACCAGGCTCTTATCTTACGTATCCTTACCTGTGTCTCAGTCAGGGACACAGCAGCTGTGCTCTCCGTCCACTTGCTCTCTGTCATCAATGCACCAGGAAGGAAGTCAGTAAGGTGATCACTCTCCCCAGAATTCACAAGCCTTTGCCTCTATAAGGTCTGCCCCCATGGGGTCAAGCAAATAAAAACCATATAAAGACCTGTAAGAGAGTGTACAGAGGTGAAAAAGTTTACTTGTCGAATTTTCAGCCTTCAGGTTGAAAGTGAGCTTTAGCTTTTGCTGAGCAATCTCTCTGCACTAATCAGTTTCACTTAGAAGACCTCAGTGCAAACCCAAGGCTGATGAGAGAAAAAAAA